CAATATACAAATATACTTAATTGCAATATATTAACGCAAATTTGTAATGAAAATTATGTTTAAGTCGATCCAAAATTATAGGTTGATGTTTTAAAAACATTTTCGCTTGTGAGTTTATAAAATCTTGAAAGCGTACCCATAATTTTAAACTTTTTAAAGATCATTCAATTTATTTAAGAACGCGATTTTAAAGTAACTTAATTAAACTTGTAAGAATGTACTCCAGTAGTTCATCATCAAAAAACTAACTTTAATATGCAAAATATGAAAGTTGCAATTCCTGATTCTAACTTGTTAATGTTGCAACTTATTTGGCTTTAGATAAATACTTAACAAACAAAAAGCTCTAATAAATTTTTTTTAATTTGAAACCAAAAGCATTTTTTCTAGGGGGGATTTATTCCGGGGGGATTTTTTCTTAGAACCTATCTTTTTAGTTCAAAAAATTTAAATTAGTGCTGAAAATATAATACGCCTCAATTAAAAAGTGTGTTTGTTTGTTTATCTATACTTATTCTTAGTGCTATTAAAATATAACTTTGTTTAAGTATAACTATAAATATGTATTCATTAAGTATAACTCTGATTTACAAATTTTATGAAAAGTTTATTTCGAACAACAACTCTCTAATATATTCATTACAAAGCCGCTCAAACATTTTTATTTTTATTTATTTTTTTATTACAAAATTATAAACATTTACAGTTTTTTATAAATTTTGTAATATATATTGTATACTTATATATAAGCAGAGCCGTACCGAACGACGAAGATTTGGGGGGAGGGGGTAGTGGTGCGAAAGAAAAAAGCTAACTTTACAGACAAGGGTTTTTTTTTTTTTTTAGAAGCCAAATATCAGTTCTAACCAGAGTCCCAAATCTTCCAATTTTCCGACAAAAACCGACAGAGTTTTGTAAATCTGGGGGAGGGGGTCCGCACACTCGTCGGTACGGCCCTGTATATAAGTAATATAGTTTTAAATAATATTCTTTTAAAAATATGCCGTTATATAATCTAAATCAAACATAAAATCCCATTAAAAAAAAAAACATAGTCTAGTAATGATAACAAATTGTATATTACAATAAGTAAAAATACTAACACACCTAGGTTTTTGTTTTTTATTTTATATATTTGCACTTTTTCTTTCTTTCTCTCTCTCTCTCTCTCTCTCTCTCTCTCTATATATATATATATATATATATATATATATATATATATATATATATATATATATATATATATATATATATATATATATATATATATATATATATATATATATATATATATACTTACAACAGTTATGAACTGAAAATTATCAAAACGGTAAGCCGCATGATATATTCTAGAGTTTACAATGCATTGCGATAGAATTATTACAATTGGTTAAAATTTAAAATTCAAAATGAGGCAAGATCGTGAGTTTTATATGTATGGCTCATATGATAGCCACACCAAATTTAGCACGTATTTATTTAAGGATTATCCCACATTAAGTGGAATAGTTATGTGAACCTCATTATGTGTTCCACAAGTGGGCCACACTTATTTTCATCAAATATGTCATTCATCAACTGTAATATATTTTTGCACTTTTAATCCACACGAAAGCACTTGACCACATGTGGGCCACATATACCTTTCTTGTCGGGAAGACTCCACGGGAAGGAGCGGCAGGGTCGCATTTTAAAAATTTTGACTTTTTGATTTTCTAGCTTTATAAACTACAGAACCATCTTTTGTATTTGATTTTGAATCAAATAATTGATTTTATGTATATTTAAAGTTTCATGGAATTATGCCTCTCTTCTTTAATATACAAATAGTTACCTCCCCGAAAAAACAAGTTTTTAAACAATCGAAATTTACTAAAAGACATAAACCAAACACTACTCTGTATTATCAAGACTTAGATTAAAAGCTCTAAGTCATTTTTTTAAATAATATTCGCAGATGATTCGGTTAATGTTTATTACTAGAAATGGCGACGTTTGAACTATTAGAATAAGTAACAAAAAAATCCCAAAAAAGAAAAAAACAAAAAAAGATTGCGCGAAAGTATAAAAAAACAAAGGCTAGCATCTCATGAAACAGGGCTTGAATGTAACTGTAAAAGGTTGAAATGCTTCGAAATTGTTAAAAGAGAAGATAGAACTGTTTTATTAAGTTACTTTAACTAAAAAAAATAATGATTTAGTTGATGAATTTATAAAAAAACGAATACAGTTGTTATACCAGGGAAAAAACAGCAGGGTCTAAAAAAACTTCAATTAAAAAAGATATATGCTAGATCTAAAATGAAAGTTATTGCACGTGACCTGGAAATATAACTTTAATTGAAAAAAATAAGGTTACTTTTTGAAAACACCTTACAAGTTTACACTTTTTTTCTAAAATTAAAAGGTTACATAGAATTTAAAGTTTAATATTGAGTTTTCTCAAAATGAAAAAATGTGACCCTGCCGTTTCTTCCCGTGGAGTCTTCATATTTTTCGCAAAAAATTGCATGACGTTATTAGTAACCTTGAGCGTAAAAAAAAAACTACCTAAAAATGTTTCCCCAACAATTTTTTTTGCGGATATTTTGGAACGAATGCGAACAAATATAAACAATTCAGAAAATTTTTTAGC